ATAAAGAAATTAAAGAAAGGTAATAGTTATTGCCAATAATGACAAACTGTACTGTTTAGTAAAGAGTATTTCCTACTACTCATCTGTAGTGAATATTTTTTACTAAATATTTCTGGTCACACATATTTCAGTGCTGGCAGCAGCGGCTCTGCAGGTGTCAGACATCTTAATGTTTTATCATCAAACTGTGTCTTTGTTACATAAATGTGAGAACACCTCCACTACCGAGTTTCATTCATTATTTGACAACAACAAAGTGAGAAAAACTACCTACAGTGAGTTATCTGAGGAAAAAGCTTAATCTGATCTGAACATTAATTTACATCAGATTTTGTTTGACTTTGAAGTGCAGGCTGTACATGGAGGTGTTTGAAAGAGGTAATGTTTTGACAGAGGCAAAGGTTATGATTCAGCCAAAGTTTTGTATTTCTTTTACCATATTTTGGGGGGGAATGTGTCACCTGCGATTTTGATGTCAGCTTTGATCTTAAAGCCAACCGCTTTTTCTGCTTTTGGAAGTGCTGTGCAGAGGAACAAGGAAATCCTTTCTGATAAAGAAACTGTGTAAATGTCTGCACAGGAATCCCCCGAACACAACAACAAAGCCATACGAAAAGTGTGTGTGCGTAAATTCAGTTGGCATCAAGACCACTGTGACTGTGTAACATTTAAGATGATTGCGTATTTATTAATGAAATGAAGACACAAAAATATGAGGTTACAATTTCCAGCGATGGAAGCCTCCATCTCTCACACATTATCCACCCACAGCTGCACGGCAAAGACACACTATATCTCCGCGCCATCTAAAAAGCAGCTGTGTGTGCCTCTGCATCTATTTGTGTGTGTGTGTGTGTGTGTGTGTGTGCATGTTGCAAGAGAGAAAGTGTGTGTAAGCAACTTAGAGATGATCACTTCTCATTGTTCGTCGCTCGTCGCTCTGCGTGCTTTCACTCTGTTCATTTTGAATGACTTTGCATAACAAATTAAATGTTTTAACGTCGTCATTATCACATTTTAACAACATATCAGTATTTCCTCTGCATCTTGTCTTCTGTGTATGTGTGAAGTCAGTCCATTCAGACTGATGCACTGCGGTTGTGAAGCATCCTGTTTTCCTGTCTCTTTCGTTTTTGCGCTGGTTAGAATTCGGTGGAAGTGTCTGCAAAAGGGTTTGTAACATCTCTAACGTCACACAATAACCTGCCCCCTGGGTCTCAATTAGACGTTACTTGTGTTACTTATCATAGAAATGTGATGACGTTTTGCAGAAACTTAAAACCTATAACATCTGTTTCCAAAAAGTACATTTTATCATATTGCAGTCCGATTCTCAAGATCATAGGAGAGCTCAGCCTCTTGCCGGAGATGCATGTGGGAGGCAAAGAGGGACGAAATATCTTAGACATGATTCAGATCTTAAATCCATCAAAGGGAGCTCAAAACTGAGTCACGCTACCAAACCCCAGAACTGAAACACATATCGATGTGAACGTACCCGACAACAAGCCAATCAAGAACTCTGTAAAGACCCAATAAAATTTCAAAGCAAATAACAACATCTGCCGTCGTATGACGACTTTAAAGCGTGTGCATGCAAAGACGTGTGCGTGGATTTGTTTCACCTGGAAATACAGCTGACTGAAGCCCAAGCATCAAATAAAACGTTAAAATTAGCTCGACGTATGTGCAAAATTGTGAAACTTGGAGCCACTTTGAACTTGAAGCTGAGGAAACCTGAACAAAATGCTTCATCACACACACATGCAAAGTTATTTCAGGGATTTGTTGAGAGCTTTATATAAAAAACAGATGTTTAAAACCTAACCTGTAACGATATGTTGCGTCACAAACATCAGGTCGCAGTCGTATCGTCACTCTCAACGTTATATATAATCAAAGTGGATTGGAGAGGAACTTAAAAAGCATGCATCTGATCTGATTGATAAAATATCTTTGACTTGGCTGCCCACACACACACACGCACACACACACACACACCAAAGAACTTCATCCCTACCTCGCATCATCCTCACTCCTCCACTTGTCTCAGACGTGTGTCCCACTTTCACAAACAAACTCGTCCTCTCACTTTGTCTATCACTGCTCTCTCTTTCGACACACTTCTTTTTTCTTTCAATAACTTTCTTCTTTTCCCCTTCGTCCTTGAGCGAGCTGTGTCAGGTGCTCACTGCAGCTTCAGCGCACATATTCAGACTTTTGAGTGTCAGTCACCGCCTCACCTTCCTTGTTAGCGTGTGTGTGTGTGTGAGAGAGAGAGAAGACAGAGACAAAGAAAAGGGGGGGACTGTCCCCTGCCCTGGCTTCATTCTCAAGGTACTTTTTCCTTATACCTTTGTTGTTATCCTTCACCCCCTCACTCGCTACCATCACACATTTATAAAAAACAAAGAGATCAGCTTTATAGTGTCTGGCACCTTTAAGAGTCTCCCTGAGAATTTAAATCGAAACATTTTCAACAGGAATAACCGAGGGATGCGGTAAAAACATGCAAGTCAAAGACACATTACAGTAAAGTAAGACTTCATTTCTTCTCTAACTCACACTAGTGATTTCAATTTTGATTTTTTATGTTGTTCTGTTGATGCTCATGATGCACATGGGTGTCTCTTTAAACTGACAGCAATTATAAAAAGATATTTTACTTGAGTAGAAGTAGCAACACCACACCCTTGAATCACTTACTTACAGGTAAACGTTCTGATGTTTTAATTATGTAGAAGTGCTGAAACATTACGACATATCATTGGCTTATCGGTGCATTAAGATGTGTGAGGCATGTTTGTCTCTCCTGTCTTACCTATAAACTTACTAGCTACTGAATTAACTATCAAAGGGCTGTGGGTGACGCAAGAGCACAAGGACAGCTTCTCCGTATCACTTGATCCACTTTTAATGTCTGAAAAAGAACGTAGGACAACTGAACATCGACAGCAACAGTGGCATCTCTCGTCTTATACATGTATCACTCTACCAAACTTCCTCATTACTCTTATTACCTGTACTTAAGGTGATTTTAAATAGTTTCAAATTTAACATAAAGAGCAAAATAACACATGTAAACAATATATGAATGTAGTTAATATTAAATTATGTAGATACAAAATAATGAACAATCTACTGGATACGTCCTCATGAAAATAAATCTCATCTCACAGATGTAAACAGCATTTCAATGTTGTTGTCAGGGTGGATCTAATTTTAACGAGGCCTGCTTGGTTAGCTTAATCTATGAGAATGCATTACATGTGATGAGCTTGTCATGTGTTTGTATGTAAAATGCTGATCTTCAAAGTATCTGTCATATTAATCATGTAGTGGAGACAAAGAAAGTTGTAGGAAATGGAAATCTTCAAGAACAGCGCATGTGGTCGTGCTGTTTCAATACCAGTTTCAGAATTAGCCCCGATACTGCATAAAATGCTGGGTCGGGTGTTGAAAAGTAGAGTATACGCAATTCTATGCATCCCACATAATTTTTTAATAGACTTTAAAGTAGTTTTACAGCTACAAAAAATGCAGTTTTCCTGGAACTCGTCTTTACTGCTCTAGAATAGTAGCCCACACAGTAAGCTGCACTGAGCAGCCACTGGCAGCTACTGTTACTGTAAATCAATAGTGCAGCATTAGCTGTTAGCAAGGTGTCAGTTTTGCAATTCCTCTGGTATTTATTCTCTGTATGCAATTGTTCATGTTTTACAAAGGGTTTAATCTGAGCCAGGCCAACAATTACAGCAATTAATTCACATCCATACAGGGTTAGTGGTTAGGGCTGCAAGGATTAGTCGATTAATCGATGACTAATTGCATATTAAAATAATCGGTGACTATTTTAGTAGTCTACTAATCGGTTTCTTAGAGAAGTATTATAAAAGTACCCCAAAATACTCCTATTGCAGCTTCTTATGTTCAAATATTGGCAGCTTTACACACTCTCCCATGATGGTGAACTAAAACCCTTTGGTGTGAGTACAAAACAAGACATTAGATGACATAATTTTGGAGGTTGCGAGAGACAGGCCGACATTTTTCAACATTTTAACACATTTTTTGATAAAATGATTAGTCGACTAATCGAAGAAATAATCGACAGATTAGTCGACGATGAAAATAATCGTTAGTTGCAGCCCCATTAGTGGTATGTAGCCGTTCTTTTTTTATTGCAGTGGTATCGGATCAGCACTAGGAAAGGTATCAGAACTGGTAGGAAAAAAATGGTACTGGGACATCTCTACTTTATCTGTCTCTACTCTATCACCCCTCCATCTACAGCACCTGACTGATGCACCGAACGACACAAGTCCGCCACGACTCCCCCGCCCTCTCCCTCCTTACTGCTAACCTCCAACACAAACTCCCAAAATGATCCCTCCTCTCAGTCTGGCTTTATATCCATGCGCACTCACTCACAAGCAACAATCAATAAAACAATTATTATAATTTCTGCTCAATATGCTTATCATCACACCACCTAACATGAAGGTTGGTGGTGTGTTACGCACAGCATATCCACGCGAGATAACACGCCCAGGTGTGCTAAAGTTGTGGCAGAAAGTGTTAAACCAGAGAGGTTAAAAAAAGACGAGACGTTATCGCTGTCATCTGCGTTCAGATGCCAAAGTGCCAAAGCCATAGTAGCTGGTATTTTCATCACTGTGTGTGTGTGTGTGTGTGTGTGTGTGTGTGAGGGGGGCAGCACAGGTGCAACACACAGCACGCAGACTATGTTGCTAATGGCCCAACTCCAGCGACACCACTGTGTGTGTGTGCGTGTGTGTGCGTGTGTGTGTGTGTGTGTGTGTGTGTGTGTGTGTGTTGCTGTACAGGTGCATGTTGTATGTTCACTAACTATGAAGTCAACCACAATGCATGCACAAATATCTAGCACAAACACAAGCAATGTCACTACCACATACAGGCACACACACACACACACACACACACACATGCTAACGCGCAGCATTTCACAGAACACTTACTCAGATGAGTCTTCTTGGACACGGCTCCTCCTGAGGGAGAAATAAATGTAGTTAGTGATTCAAAACTACACAACACTTATTGTAAATCTAAGCTTCTCTACAAAATGTACTACGTATGAACAAGCGGGTGAATATTTTAGAAACAGAGAGACAACACACAGTGTTCTCATGAGCTTTACAGATTAAACTGTCTAAACCAGTTTAAACTGAACCCAGGATTAAACGGCACATTGGCGCTTTTTAAAGAGGGTTAGATCTGATTTTAAATCTGGGATTTTTTTTTTTAAACCTGCCAGTGTTAGAAAATAGCTCAGTACATTTACACTCAAGTACAGTTTTTGCATATTTGTACTTTACTTGATAAGACAGGCAAGTATTTATATAGCACCTTATCAAATGTTATTCAAACAAGCAAAAGATAACAAAAATAAAAAGGTTTTTTTTTTTTTAGTGTGGAATAAAATAAGATAAATAAAAGCACAGGCAAGTTTAATAAAAGTACAGAGGTGTTTGAAAACCAAATTGATCAAATAAAATTACCATAAAATCTGTTCAATAAGAAGCTGTCGGGAAAAAAATCTTTCTTAGTTTAGAGATGCAACATGGAAGTACAGCTTACATGTTAATGCACCAATAATTATGGATCAATAATATAATATAACATTGAGAGAGAGGGTGTTGTGTATGATTAGTGCTTTTATTTTTGGAGTACATTTTGTTGCCAATACGTCTGCTATTTAAGTAGAAATTCAAACACAGGACTTTTAGTCATAATGTTGTTGTTTTTTTTAAATATATTTACATATGATTTCTTTTTGCTATGTTTACCATGTGAAAACGTCTTCCAGCACTGAAACCTGCACTGCACCAAGGTTAGCTTCACAAGGAGACATCATGCAACAGTGTGAATCATTGCGGTGTTCAAATGAAACCCAAAAATGAGCATCTAACAGTGTGAAACCCTAAAAATTAAAAACACAGGGTCATCATTTAAACATGGGATTAAAAGAAGCTAACATGAAATGCGACAGAGACTAACCCGGGGCTTCATGTTAGAGATCCAGCTGTGATAAACTCCTCGTTGTTAATGGCGGTTTGGCGCTGCGTTTTCAGATCGCACTACTTTTTGTCAGTATAAAAGAAGGCCTTTGGACAGATAAGAAGCCCTACTGAGAACAGGGAGGTTGAATTAGAGGATTCCTATTTACACTGTTGTGCGTCCTAAGTTTGTGTGACTCTTCGGCACCCACACACACACACACCACCAACCCCCCCCCCCCCACACACACACACACACACACACACACACAGAGGCAGAGGCAGAGGAAGGTGGGTGTCTGTGAAGCAATAGGTCCTCTGTTTTTTTGTCAACCTGTGTGACCGCAATTGTGAGAAAGTCTGAATTGCAGTGAGTGTGAGTAAACACGCGAAGGGTTGATTCTGACCCAGGGGGGTTTATTTCTGGTGTTGCATGCATGTCTGTGTGTGTGAGACAGAGAGGTTTGAAGGCAGAGTGGAGATTAGTATCAATGGAAGACGTAGAGCTAGCCGGTCTTTGTCTGGCGCCAGATCAGGCCCTCTGTGGTTTTCACTGTTTTCCTCCCCTCATCAAATCAGTTTTGCTTCATAAGCAGAAAGCATGGAATGAAAGCAGAGCAGTGCACTGCACACACACGCGGAAAATGTAAAGAAATTTCAACACTAACCGAGTGAACGTTTGAAGGGGTTCGCGAAATAAAATGGAAAACATTTAAGTTAAATGAAATCATACTTTGAAAGGAACTTTTACAGCTAAATAAAAACATCATTTCCAAACTGAGAGTGATTTTTTGAACTCTTTGATGGGTTTTAAATGTTTCCAAACTTTATAAGTCAAAATGTGACATGAGCACTGCAATAATGTGGTTTCAGCAGAGAGTGTAAAGACTGATTGTCCTTCTTTTGTTACAGAAATGCACAAAAAAATCTTCCATAAAATATGTTGAGAACATTTTTAAGTTTTTTTTTAAATCTGGCAACCAAACTTAGAAGATTAACTGCTCATTGGTTTTGTTCTTCAGTAAGTCACACACTTTTTTTAACAGAAATGAGCCAGGTGAAATGATTTAAAGTCAGCTGCAACACGCTGAATTTCAGGCCCTGCTACTTCTATTTCTGAAATGTGGCATTGATGATTTGAACTTATTAAAGGTGATCTCCACGCTGAGTGGAATTAACTGTTTGTGGTCAGTGGCTAGTGGTGAGAAAAACAAAAATCTGATGCAATCGAAAACATCGGCTTCTGTACAAATTAAATGTGACACAGCATGTACACTTTTAGCAAGACACACCTGTCAGCCAGGCCAGAAACCCACCACCATGTACACACACACACACACACACACACACACTGTACACGTACATGACCCGGCTGGGGCACAAACATCAACACAACTCATCAGTCAAAATCTCACTAACGTCTCTACACTCTGACATCTAAGCTGACTGCTGAAGTGACAGTTGCTGTGTTACATAACAGCACTGAAGACCACTGAACCCAAAGAGTAGGCCGACAACTTGCCTGAATATAAACCATGAGACAAACAGTACAGAAAAGATACAAAACTTAACACATATTTAATTTATTACCTTCCCAGTACTCTCCGACCCTCGTGCCAATGTAACATAGAGTGTGTAGTGTAAAAGAAGTCACAGAGGCAGGTGGTGTTATAAGTCTGTGAGGGTCAGAATAAAAAAAATAAGCAAATCACAAAATAAAAAAGTAATGTGCTAAAAGGGAAAAAAATATGATATACAATGAAAATGAAGATAAATGGAATGATTGAAACAAAAATACATATGTATAAATTTAAAGCAGGCGTGATAAAGCAGGTTTGGATGTTGGGTCAGGGTACTAAAAAGCGCAATTAGCCTTTAGTCTTTTGTGCCAGTTGAGCTCCATAAATTATGAGGAAGTCATAAATCTTGCACTGACTGCTAACAAACAAACAAAAAAATACAAATAAAAGGAAAAAAATAAGCATAATTTTGAGCCAATCTTAAACTATAGCAATGGTGGTCAATGAGGGGAAACAAAATTTGGGGCAAAATGCTTCGTCTTTTTAACTGGTGTGATAAAATAAAAGTGTGACAAAATAAAAGCAGGAATCACAATCGTGAGGTGAATACAAAATGTTTGTAGAAAACAATACATTATTATTTACTGTGAACATGTTGGCCCAAATGTGACTGACCAAATGTTTAAAAATGACTTTGAAGAGTTTCACAGTACATTAGAAGAAAGGCTAAAATGTTCGTGAATTTTAGACCTGAAAGTGTTTTGGGTTGATAAATTAATTTGTATTAATTATTAATTCGAAGACATCCGAAGAGGCCGGAAGCCTGATGTCACTTTGGTTTACAGCAAATGCAACTATCAATGATTTTCATTGTTGATTAATATGTCGATCAACTAATTAGCTGTTTGATCTATAAAATGTCCGAAATTGGTGAAAAACGTCGATCAAGGTTTCCTAAAGCCCAAGAAGACATCAAAGATAGACAGTTTACTGTCAATTGAGAACTAATCGAATAATCATTGCAGCTCTAGTTTACAGAGAGATGCTTAAGGGTGATACTATTGTGACAACAAACACCAATATTAAGTTAACAAATGACTGCCGAATAACATAAAGTATGGAGAAGAGGAAGGGACCCACAACAGATCCCTGAGGAACACCACAGACAGTTTGTATCCAATATTGAATGGGAGCAGAGTTTCACATATACAAGCAGGAGGAAATGCAATTTGGAGCAGTACTTGAGAATCAAACCAAGCACTCGAGAAAAATGAATAGACACCCACAACAGCCACTAAAACCAAGACACTCATCACCTTAAGAAGAGCCATCTCAGCAGAATGAAAAACTCGACAACCACACTGAAACTCCACTTTAACCAGATTGAAACACCCTTACAGCAGTTCCAGTATCTGTTAAATTAGCTGATGTTGATGTTTTACTAAAATCTTTAACCCCTTACCCACTATGTGCCTTTAAGGTTGTTAAAATGATGACTCAGACTTTATTTGGTATATTTGGAGCATTTGTGAGGATTGGGTTTGAGCAGTGTTTGGCTGCACAGCATGAGTCTGACTGACCTGAGGCAGGACAGTGAGGTTGAATGCACCTTATACACACTGCACAGCATTGCACAGCACTGCTTTAAATGCCAAATGCCTATTGTCACTTTTTCTGAAAATGGTCACTGCTGATGTGTGATGTGTGAGTGTCATACTGGACTTGTAGTTTGTGATTTATCTTTTTTATTTGTATTTAATTGATGTCTGTTTTATGGTATTAGTATTTATTAATTTAGTGGAACGACCCCCCCGCAAGCACTGTTGTATGTTTGGTGAGATGACAATTAAAGCCTGATTTGATTTGATTTAATAATAACAACTGTGGTCTAATATAAAAAATTCAATTTTATTTCAACTTAAACTGAACATGACACTAAAGAAAAGACAGTTTGCACCGTGTTTGTGTTCATTTGTGTAACACATAAAATCAAGGCTGCGACTAGCGATTTTTTTCATCGCCACCTCACCTGCTCATTATTTTTCTTGAATAATCCATCAATTGTTTTATTATTAAATGTCAGGTGACAGGTTAAAGGTGACAGCTTCAAATGGTCTTTATTCAACCAGCAGTGCCTAAATCCCAGACTAGTCATTTTATCATGATGACAAAGAAAAGCGTCAAATTCTCACATTTAAGAAGGATGAACAGGCTAATGTTCTGCTTTTTTGCTTTAAAAACAGTAAAAATGACATTCACATCATAGTGTCTGATGGAGCTGGTGGTGAATCGGAGAAATATCTGGCAAAGCAGAAACAAATAGATATACAGAAAGGTGACTTTCTGTCTATCAGAGGTCTGAAGCAGAGCTGCTGGCTTGAAACATTAGCAATAACACCGTTGTAACAAGAGGACTTGATGTGTAGATCTGTTTGTTTCTACTCTGACTTTCTTGCCTTAAAATTATTAAAACAATTAATCATCGTTCATTTCTTTTAATGTCAAATGGCATCACATATGCATAATATAAGGCATTTATGTAAAGAAACAGAGGTGAAAGGTAACCAGCTCTATCTGCAAGGCTTGCTATCGCTAGCATTGGTGAACTATTTCAGTAAAATTCAAAATGCAGGCATTATAATGGAGTATTATTCAACTGTGATCCTTATGTGAGTAAATAGTATAGTTGCGGTCCAACGACTGTATAAAAAGACACTTCCTTTCTCTTCCCTCAACACTTCACATCCATCAGACATGAGCGACGATGTTCATATCCTTGATGCACCAAACTGTGTTGCCATCATAGACTGTATATATGTTGCCATGCTATGAGAGCAGTAGGAGAGGTGTGCAGTGGGTTTCTGTGGCAGAGGGACAAGGTGTCTTATCTCAAGTGACTGCCAACAGTTTGATTTTAGCTGGGCAGAGGCTCTGAATAGCAACACACTGACCAAAACCAGAAGCAAAAATAAGAACTAATCCCAGAGGATTACTTCAGCTTACTGCCATTCTTACCCACTCACAGCACCTTAACCACACTCCAGTGAGAGGGATGAGGAGGGTTAATTGGGTAAAGATGGATGAAAGTGCAGGGAAAGGAGATAATAGTAGACACTGTGACGGGCAAGACAGAAGCAGAGAGACACAGCCTGTGCAGGAAAGGTGAGCAGAAAGAGTAGGAGTAGAGAGGAGGAGGTGGAGGTGGGTGGGAGTGGGTAAAGCATGGCATGCTGGGAGATAAGACGTGTGTAAAAGAGAGACTTAAGCATGTTACTATAAGACTAAAAATCAGCTGTAGGTTGGTAAAACAAGCTGCATGCCACCACAGGTGTGGATTTCAGGGGACACAGGGGAACTTAAAGTGATTTCTATTGTAAATGAATGCAAAAAAAATACTAAGATGCAGGAAATTAATTGTTTAATGCTCAGAATTTGTTGATGTGTTGATGTTGTTGATGTTGAAACAACCCCTGCACCCTTGCATGCCACTTGCAGAGGCATCGGGCCACACATGCTGCAGGATAAAACCTCAGGGATGGATCCTCTTACCTCTTTTGATGGGGCTGTCAGCGGGGGGCACGTCGGGCTCCTCATATTCCATAACTCTCCTCTCAAAACACGGGGCGGCCCTACACACTCACACACCTCTCACTCACACACACAAACCACAAACCCCTGCCAAGTCAGTCGGTTATAAACTCCACCTGCCGCCATTTGACACAGACATGACCAAACTGGAGCTCATACTACCTGTTGGTTCTTCTAGCGCCCGGGCCGGCGCAGGCATTTGAAAACATGCACTGCCATCTCGCCTCCTTCCTGTCCTTACAGCGGGTCCCAAAACTCGGTCGTCATCATCTCTCGCCCCCTCTCTCTCTGTCAGCCTCCCTTTTGTTCAACAGTACACCTCCTCTTGTTTTGAAATAATTTAATTCCCCCCGAGGCAGCAGCAGCAGAGAGAAGAGAGTGCAGCTGGACCGGCCGGCCGTTCACAAGCCGTGCGCCCCGGTCTCCCCCCCCCCCCGTCCCTCCATGAGCTCTCTGTGCGCCCTGACCGTCCCAGGCTGGAGAGAGTTATGTCACCGGCTGTTACGTAATAGCAGCGGATCGGGTTTTGCTTTGTAGTGCTCAGTTGAGAAATATAATCCCATGTTGCTGCCACAAATTTCCGCCACACTAATCGAGAAAATACAACGCACTGAGGAGACATTAAAATCCACTGCAGGTTTGGCCTTTTACTTCACACTCACATCTAAAATGAATATTAAATTCCATAAAGTCCCTCTTCATATGATGGTATTATTCTAGTGACTTGTTAAAACCACCTGCAGGGCTCTGTGCATGCAATATAACATGCAGGGGGGTTGTTTTGATAATGGTAGGATATGCAGAAGGCTGCCTCATTTTATGTGCGATAGGAAATCGACTGCAGACACAAAGAAAACGATGAATAATCGATATGTCTTCTCGGTTTACATCATTGTGTCAATGCTCCTTTAAGACATAGTGCTAACACTGGCTCCAGACACACATGCTACAGCCTGTCAGTGGCGGAATGTAACTGACTACATTTACTCAGGTAGTGTACTTGTACAATAAGTACAATGTTGAGGTGTTCTTCCTTTATTCTTCTACTTGTCCACATTTATTCCATCACATCTATCTGACAGCTGGAGTAAGTTTGCAGATTAATATTTTACAGATTAAACCTCTTAAAATATGATGAATTGATATGTACTTCCACCTCAACATACAACACCAGTTTTTAGCATTTAAAAAAAAGGTACAGTATGTGTGATCAATTAAAGCTGATACTTAAGTGTTTTCAACCTGGATGCTATTTTTTCATGTGCCCAAGTGACTAATGGCAACAACAGCTTTTGAAACTGGTCCAGCATTGAGTGAGACCGCTGCAGCGAAACAGGCTGCAATGTAACCACTTGGGGCAATTGACTTTTCCCTAAGCCCTGCCCCTTTGTGATGGTCTGACAATATGTTGGAGTAAGCACTGAGCTCACACTGTAACTAACTGCACTCCCTGAAGAAATATTATCACATTTTTGGAGAAATGAAAGAGTGATTCCAGAGAGAAGCAGACAGAGGGGTCTACAGTCTGTGTTTGAAGGATATATCCAGGATGTCAAACTGACTCAGCAGCAACAACAGGTTAAAAAGACAAAGATAGTTAGAAGCTAAAGCCCAACTATAGGCTACAGGTCACAGTGTAAAAGTGAACCACCACATCACTGCTGATCGCCACACAAGACAATGAATATAAAGGGAAACTTTGCTGATATTGAACCAGCTGTGTGGCATCGCAGTGTGTGCAGATGAACAATGTTTGGCTTAGCCCCGTGCCACAACATCATCACACCATGACGATGATACACAGCTGGTTGAATATCAGCAAAGTTTCCCTGCTTCCCTTCACTGGTTCCTGTATAGCAGGGTCAGTCTTTGTTTCACTGTTATAATCATTAAAAAGCAAAAGCAGCATGTGTATACATTCAGTAGGCTTTATCTTCAGTAGCTAGCTAGCTAACCCTACACTTTTCAGGGCTTGATTTTGGTTTTGGAACAGGGAAGAAACATATATCTTTTTCCAACCTCTCCAGGTAACGAGTATCATTAATACACGACGTGCCCCAGGCACAACATTTAGCTCCAAATCCACAAAACCAGCCTGAACATGAAGGAAATCTGAAACGACTGCATTAGAGTCAATGGCATACGGCTGTGTTGTTGTCGGTTGGTCTGAGCCGGCCCCATGCTACATTATGATTGGCCAGTCTGCGTCTGGGGGCAGGACTTAGCAAAGGGTCAATTGTGCATAGTCATTTACGTCCACTAAAAGTACCTGTTTTTGACACATAGGGTGAGATGCAGGGCAGGTGGATTGGTCAAAAAACTCCGGACTTTCACCCACAAGATTGCTGTTTGTGTTCTATGTGAAACCCAAAAGTCAGCCGAGTTATTTTAATAACAATGTTGAGGGCTGGTTTGTGTAGCATACTATGCTAGTAATGCTTGTCACATGACGTATGCCACATAATGAATAAAAAGCCATAATCACAAACAGCCTTGTCCTGCATTAGAAAAGTAGACTGTTAAAACAACCAAAGATCCTACAGAAGAATAAGCAAGTGTCAAAGACAAGGAAACACCAACTTATAATAATAATAATTATAATAATTATAATATTTATTTATCTAAACAAGGTTACAAAGTGCTTCACAAAGTCATCTGTCTTTGTCATCTGCTTTCTAAATGGATGAGCATTTTTAAAATGTGGTTCTTTAAACAAAAACAAAAAAGAAAAAAACAAAAAAATTGGTGGTGTTTGTTATTTATAGGATATTAGGCAATGGTTTTACTGGTCCAGTCCACCTGCGATTGACTCGGACTACATGTGGCCTGTGAACTAAAATGAGTGTGACACCCCTGCTTTAAGGAACAAGGTCGGGAACCACTTGTTTCTAGAGGAAGTTGCACTTTTAAGTTAATATCTAAAGTGAAAATTAGTTCTGGAAGTGATGCATTGGAGCTTTGGAGCTTGTTGCAGGTGGTTTTAACTGACAGCTGAAAACAACTGCCCCGGCTTTGCCTACCCACCCTCCCCCACCTGCTTCCTCAAAGCCAACTTGACCACATGACTCTTCAGGGGAAAAGAAAAACTGCTGGTGTCCTGCAACCACCTCCCCAGTACACACACACACACACACACACACACATACACACACACCAGCAAGTTTTGAGAAACTAAAGTAGTATTTCCATCTGCACCTCGCTGAGGTTAAATATGTGTGGGGCCCTCAGAAGACCACCAGGCCTGAGCTGTGATGAGCCCATACACTCAGAAACCACACATCAGACCAAACTGTGTGAGAACTGTAGTAAATGTGAGCAGGGTTTGGAGACCTGTAACCAATAATTAACTGCTAGACAAGAACTCACTCAGTAACACCTGCTAATAAGCAACACTTTGCTGTGTTTTAAATGAATGCAACAGGAATTTACTCTTTAACTGTCACATCAGTTTTTAGGTTAAAGCTTATCGGCCATTTACTTAAAAAATGCACAAAGGTGATATTAAGAGAGTATTATAAGCTGTATGTCAAATAGATCAGTGGATTTTTTCAGATATAAATCACAGATATAACAAGCAGCGCCTTAAAACAACAGGAAACATTAATAAGATGCATTATAAGCCTGTTTTTTAATATTTTGTTGGAGTCCAGCAGAATTAATCACCTTGACTGATGAACATTAACACTAGACGTCATTGTGTTCTGAATTATCAGTAACATGGAAGTATTAAAGCTACAGTTGGTAACTTTTATGAGTCACAGTTGCTGTAACTGCCATTATTTTCTGGAAGAGGTACATGAGAGAGATAGTCTGTAAAAAAAAAAATCATGTCCCTGCTCTTCTTCCTACTGCCTCCAATAGCATTCACCAGAACTGAGCATGGCACACCAAAAGCAACCAATCAGAGCTGAGGATTCTATAACGCAGCTGCCAGTCATGTCAATCACTGCTCATGAACTGCAGTCAAACTGTCAGACCATGACAGTCAGTCAGATCAAATATGAACCAAATTTCTGTGACCGTGTTACCTATTTCTCACCTCAAATGTTTTTAGAAACCTATGCTGTTTACCTGTAAAATGAAAAAGTTTGTAACCCGACTGCCATGTGGGATACACCTGACCAAAGTGCAGAGTACCACACACCAGCTGGACCTACTTTCTCATTTTACGCCAGAAACAAACATTTGAGGCAAGAAATAAGCAAAGCAGTAACATAATCTTGATTCATATTTGATCAGCGCTGTCTGGTTTGACAGTTTGACCACAGTTAATGAGCAGTGACTGACATAACTGGCAGCTGCTTTAGAGACTGATCCGCTCTGATCGGTTGTTTTCGTTCACATGCGGTAAGGCCATTAGAAGGGCCACATGGCTATAGAATAGGTCGAGGAATGTAATTTCTTTCACAGATCATCTTTCTCATTCAGTGCTGCATGAATACAGTAACACTTTCATCCATCCATCCATCCATTTTCATAAGCGCTTATCCTACAGACAATTTAGAGTCACCAATTGACCTATCCCCAACCTGCATGTCTTTGGACTGTGGGAGGAGGAGGAGGCCGGAGTACCCGGAGAAAGCCCAGAACACTCTTGCTGTGAGGTGACAGCGCTAACCACCCTAGCCCACACTGGGCTAGTGAAAGGGACTAGGTGTTTAAATGGGACTAACTAAGTTTTACAGTATTTTATAGTCTTATGTTTGTTCCACAGCTGCTGAGTGCGATTTTTGTTATTTTATTTTTCTTCTGCCTCAAAAGAACGAGTGAGAGCTGCTGCTCTGTCATCAGCTGAGAGACAGTGAGGAAATACAGCATGTAGAGACAGTATTTCACATCTTACTCAGTGAATTAAGGAGTTTATTTCAACCAAACCAGAGTTGGTGATAGTTGCAACAGTGGACTGACTAACTACGATGGTTTTAGTGAATTTTGTTCTGTTTCTGTCGAGTTTAAATGAAGTGTGTGAATGCATTGGCAATAAACTAAAAAAGGCAACCAAGACCAGCAGGGCTGAGATGACAGATGGCCTCTGAGTGAGTATGTTTGCCCCCTAACACTATGTTTTGACCAACAGAGTCATAGCCTTGGATGGGGCGGTGATACGCAGCTGTCAGGCACTATTCAGTAAGGCATGTTTGCTGTTGATAAAACTAGTGTAATTCAATTTATGTCATTTTTACCTAGTCCCAAAGTTAACTTATTTTAGATGCCTTTACTTTTTGTAAACACAGCCACATTGGGAAGTATTTGGGGGTTGAGCATCAGGAGCTTGAGCTCAATACATCCTGGTGCACTATGAAAACAGCTGTGCAAGAAGAAAAACTCAGAAACACTCTGCTTTCTCTGTCAATAGAAATTTATTGCATCATTGAGTACATTTACAATCTACACTGATCCCCATAAAACATGGCAAATTTCTGTTAAACATTAAATTGACATTCAGATGCTTTAAAGTGCAAAATAACAATCATACAAAGCAATGACTTTATAGTCAGCACACAATGTTTATAACCCCAAATAGTGCTCTATGTGCTTTAAGGTCTTTTTCCGCATTGTGGTCTGCAGTAGCTACAAAACCAGCAATGATCTATGTGATGTGGACTGCGTTACTTTTAATGGCATTTTGTGGCACGCCTCAGTCATCTCTGTGAGACAAGCCAGCCTATGAAAAAGATGATTTTGGGTTTGAACCCCTTGCGTCTCTGTTTTAAGTCGTGAAATTCTCAGAGCATGCAAATCCACACCTCATATTTAGATGTAACCACATCCACCACATAGCGGGATAACAGTTAGCAACCTACACCAGAAAATGTGCAAGTAAGAGGCCTGAAACTCAGTTTTGTTAGCTGAGAACAAGCAAACAAGTTGCAGCTAAAACCAACCACTCTAATCCTCTATCAATCAATCAATCATTTATTTTGTCACATGGAATCATACAAGGTGTAACTCCAGTGACATTGGATCCTGTCAGCTCCTTAAGCTTGTGCAATAAGTGCATTTATTACAGAAAGACGAAAAGAAGCACATGACATTCTTCATTCATCATCTCAAATTAATCACATCGCCTATTTCAGCTAATGTCAAAAGATTTTTGGACAAGAAAACACATAAAAAACAAAAGAACAACATCAGTCTGGGGCTACAAAACATATTTGAGCCTTATGATGTAAGTAACACAGCCTATTAAATCTAAATTAGCCTGTCAACATTACTAAGAGGTCTATATGGGAATTCATTAATACGTTTGTGCAGCTATTTATGATTACTTGGTACTTAAACTTCGCAACACACATTCACTCACTCGTTGTGGCCTCAGGTGGTAGGCTGCCGTGTTTGTGTCTTACTCCCTGCACGAGGTTGCTGGCATTGATTGTCAGGAACAGTGCTGCACAAAATGCATGCAAGACATCAGATATCAAAGAGCAGAGGTGCAACCTGCCTCAAACTTTCACACTAACATTTCCCATCAGACAAGTTGTGTGTATAAAAGTGTACCTGTTGTTTCTGTGTGCACTTTGGAGCCGTCGGTGCTCGTCACTTTACATGAGAGAAAGATTTTTCTGCCCTCCTTCTTATCCACACAAGATTCAAGCAACACGGTGCTTCCCAGTGGGATGGGGCTGGGGACAAAGACAAGTGTTTACCAGGGCAAACAGACTGTGGATGATAACTACATACACTACATACAGTACATACAAAATATGCTCCACATGAATAAATTAGGCTACCCAGACACACAGACCCTGATTAACATCCCGAGTACCTTCAGTATTAACACCATATGATTCTGGATAGAAGGTATTTTGGACGCAAGGGTCTTCAAAAAGGACAGAAAACTATTGTCTGTCATTAATATCCATTAAAACATTGTATCTCTGGTAAAGTATTTTACATTATGGTGAATATTTAAACATTACAGATACATTAATTCTGCTGGACTATGAATAACAAAGAATACTATTTTTTTTACACAACAAATTACTAGCTGCATGAGTCTAAAAATATATAATATGTGTACCTGCGATAGTTGATGTTGAAGTTGGCAGTCATAACAGGTCCACAGTGGACAGCAGCATGAGCCGCAATCACAGTATCAATCACAGCGGCTATTGCCCCCCCATGGACATGTCTGGAAACACACACACATGTAAAATCATGTAAATGTACATGTGTAAAATCCAATGTTTAAAAGTGTAGTTTTGTAAAGTTTGAGGCCCTTTTCGAGATCATTCTTTTACTTAATTTATTATTTACTTTTTGGGCATTTAGCTGACAACCAGCATCCCAGAGGCTAATAAAAATATATACTTTGACTATTTTTGACAGAGCCATGATACACTGCATAGAGCAGATAGGATTTTCTGCTAACAGGCATTGTGTGTCAAATATAGATACAATATTATTATGAAGATTAAGATTTTTTTAGACAGAAATCTTTGATCCATGTCGTTCATAGCTGGAATTTTACCAGTATCAAACTTTGTCTGGAGGCTACAGCGCAACAAAGCATGACACTAAACAATAAACACATTTAAAATAGATTTTTTTTAAAAGAAAGAAGCCTGCTTACTTAGTGTAGAAGCACAAATAAAAACTAAAAATGACCAAATCAACAAAATCTGCATGTCCACAAAACTGGGCAGGACACTCTGGGTGTCAGGCCGTAGCTGTGTCCCTCCCTTCTCCCTTTCAGTCAAGATGGCAGCAAAGATAATATAACAGGGGCTCATTCATCTTGTAACGTGCCTAACTTCAGTGGATTATAACATATTGGGTATACTGCAGATGCTCTGGTTCACAATGAAACCAAACTTTGAAGGCCAAACAGTGAAGGTCAAAATGTGGCCTGCAACAGACAGTGAGGCTTGTTGTTTTAGCTGAGTTGATTTCCAGAAAACTTGCGGCCCCTGCAAGCTGGTTAAAAGGAGTGAGGAGGGAGGTATGGTATGAAACGGTCAGTAAAACAGGTTTTCAACATTTATCATTTATTGCAACCACAAGAGATCCCTGAGCATACATCAATAAATGAGGCTGATTGGTCTATTAGAATGAGAGATTAGCTTTGGGCAGAAATGTATACACACTTACACACACATGCCCAAATACATTATCCTTTTCAGGCCTACAGCTGGCAGGGATAAAAATACAGCATACATTTTATAAAGCAAACAACAAATAATCTTTAACTGCGGCCCTACATCCATACAGAAACTTTAGCAACATGAACAGTTATCTCACCCTGGTGCCCCCTCCAACAGTGGTCCAGCCTGGAAAATGCACACACACTTCTGCTCCTTAATGTTAATAAACATAGCGTACTCAAACGCAGCCCCTGGGTCTGTGATGTTACGGGTGAAAAAACAAGCTTTCGACTGGATCATCTCACTAAGATACACTCCACCTGATGGGAAAAAACACACAAGGGAAGTGTTAGCAGCTAACAGAGCACCCCAGGATGAAATAAAATGAAATAAAATAAAACAGAATAGAATAAAATAAAAAACAGAATAGAATAAAATAAATAGAATAAAATTAAA